TATAAAAGTGAGCTCAAACAAAATATCAGGTTCGTTTAGAAAAATGTGACAACCATGAACTTTAATGTACTCGACTAATAAAGCTTAGTTGTTTATGAGATGTGTCGATATGGTTGAGTTCCACTCATTTGTAAAAACTTAGCTCATAATAGATAGAAATCATTGTTTTATAATTAAGTATTGCTCTTTTTTATGATTAAATTTTTTTTTACAAAGAGCGTCGTCTGTGGATCCTTAAACCATACAAGTCATGATAATGAGTCCGAATCCTCTTTGTGAGGATCATGGGAATCCGTGAATCATATCTATTTATCTTACATTGTACGATCAGAAATCATTTTAAATATTTTTATTTAAAATTAAATACAAACAGTACCTGACAAAAACTGACTGCACGATGAACGATGAAGAAACACGGTTTACGGATCCCCAGGATCCTCACCAAAAGGATCCGGAGAGGATCATGTTGGCAAGATAATATCTTAGGTATGACTTTACTAGAGAACTGCTAAATCAGACACTAGATTGTTTGTACAAATGTTTAATATCAGCAAATTCGTCTGCAATCATATTAGCTTTTATATGTGTATGATATGTGGAAATATCTTATATCGACCATATCTTTGAGAAAATAAGAGTTTAAATATAACCCCACTCCAACTAATACCAAGGCCTTTATGATAAAACCTCACTTGTGATCGTTGTTTATGTACTCAATTACCATTTCAAGCACATATGTGTTTGTCTTAGTGTCCAACACTAAATGACTTGAGACTAGTCATATTTACTCTTGAATCAACATCACACATACTAACCTTAGCAGATTGTCAATGCACAACTGGCAATTCTATGGCTAGGAACGTTTTAGGAATAAATAGTGATTAACAATAAACTTTGCCGTCCATTAAACAAATAATAGTTTAACACAATGAGTATCCCAAAAGCTGTTACATCAAATGAGTGGTTTTATGGGCATACTTCCAACATATGCGTGACTGTATCTTACCAAAAGATTGACAGCAAAGATGTCCAGTCTAGTGCACTGAGCTAAGTACAATAAAGCGGCAATCACACTTAGGTATGGAACTTCAGGCTCCAAAACCTCTTCCTTATCCTCTTTAGGACAAAAAAGATCTCGCTTAGTATCTAGCGATCGAACGATTACAAAAGTACTCGAAGGCTTTGGTTTATCATCATTAAAATGATGCAACACCTTCTGGGTGTAGTCCAACTGATGAAAAAGAATTCCATTTGAACAATGCTCAATCTCCAGGCCTAGATAGTATCGAGTTTTTCCAAAATCTTTCATCTTAAATTCCAATTTAGGACGTGCAACAGTTTTCTCAAGCTCTTCAGGAGTTCCAATGAATTCATGTCGTCGACATAAAATGCAACAATTGCAAATTCAGAATGTAACTTCTTAATAAACACGCATAAACATATTTCACTGTTCACATATCCCTGACTTATCAAATACTCACTTAGACTGTTACGCCACATCCATCTGGATTGCTTCAATACGTATAGTGAATGCCTCAATCCAATAAAGAAGGTGTTCCATGGTCTAGAACTATTTGATCTAATCAATGTAAGTACTTCAAGAACTTTCACGTAGATTTTCGTATTAAGATCCTCGTAGATACGCGGTTACCACGTCCATGAGCTTTATATCCAGTTTTTTGGAGCTACTAAACTGATAAGGTAATGGAACGTATTGACGTCCATTACGGGAGAATAAGTATCCTCATAATCAATTCCAGGACGTTGAGAGAAGCCTTGCGCCACAAGGCGTGCCTTATATCGCACTATTTCATTTCTCTCGTTACGCTTCCTTACAAAAACCCAATAGTAGTCAACGGTTTCACATGTGGTGGTGTAGGGCTATAGGCTCAAACACCTGGCGTTTCCCAAGCGAATTGACTTCAACCTGGATTGCTTGTTTTCAATTTGACCAATATGTTCGCTCATTGACATTCATCAACTGAACGTGGTTCAATGTCACCACCCAGCATGATCTTAGTCGCTGCTGCATATGTTAATGCATCGTTGATTATCATTTCATTTTTATTCCAAACATCATCCAAGCTAGCATAGTGGACCAAAATCTCTCGATTCTTGGGAGGTGGGTTTGTCTCTTCTAGGACGCTTTCGTAATCTAGAATTTTCTCATTCGTTGGATAATATGAGTAGGCGATGGTCGAATTCACACTATTTTCACTAGCCTTGGTTTTGGTTATCCTTTTCTATGGTTATGAATCCTTTGAACCAATACGTTTGCCACGCTTTTGGGTAGGAGCAGATGATTGGCTAGCCACGTTAGTGGTGTCTAGTCCTTCTAGAAAGAAGATTCAACGTACGTAGGTATATCCATCTTTGCAGGCACATTTGTAGCTAATATATGTGATCTCGTCACTCTCTAGATCGGTAAAAGCATTCAGCATGCCTTGAGCAACGCTCTAGAGATTTAGGATTTGTCCGACTTTAATTTCAGACTATGCAGTACGAGGATCTAAATAAGACATAGTGGGAGTCATCCATGATAATTCGCGTCGTTCTTTAGGAACGTTGACTTTCTTATCTCCACCTAATGACGGAAAGACTATCTCATAAAAGTGACAATCCATGAAACGAGCAGTAAAGAGATCGCCTATCAAAGTTTCTATGTAACGAATGATACCGACATAGATTCTCATACTTCTTTGAGGACCCATTTTGGTATGTAAGGGCGGTGATAAGTCAATATTATAATTATATATACTACCCTATTCTTAGTATATTTTGGTAATTATCTTGGTAGAATTTTGATACTTTGCTTTATATTTTCAATATAGGACATTCGATTTCTTCTGAAGAAAAACATGATCAAACGGACGAATTTTAAAGTGATTAAAGTTGGAGGATGTTCGTGAGTCGCTTAGCCTGATTTTATCAAAATATCAAAATTTTCCACCAAGGGGTTATTTTCTGGTGATGAAATAAAGAAGCAGTGTGCGGTGCGAGAAAGTAACGTTTTTAAGCTTAATCGTGATTTTTGGAGTCCAAGATGACCTATGATGGGTTCGTGGCCTTCTGGAGAAGTGTTCAGGATAGTTTAAGCTTTAAATCCAACTATTTTGGGCTGGTTTTGGAGTAGATATGGGTCCAAAACGTGGCTGTGAGAAATTAGGCTGATTATCCTAGTCAATTTAGGATTATGTTTCCTAATTTATTTTAATTTATTTGGTTTCCTAGTTTTATTCTAAGTCCTTTTCTAGGAGGGATTGGATTTTCTACGTAGTATAAGTAAGGCATTGTGGCCTTCTTCTTCTTTATGCGATATTGGAAGTGGATTTTGGCTAAAATTTAGATATTTTCAGACTTTATTGTACAAGGGGTTTTCATTCTTTTTCTAGTTTAATAAAACTCTTTTGATTTTAATTATGGATATGCGTAACTAACTTTCTTTTGCTAGGGCGATGCCTTGAAACTTAGCATGAATATTTAGTTTTTATTTAATTGCTTATGATATTATGCATGCATACTTTGAATTATTAATCACTGTGTTTAAACTGTCTTTGTGTCTTAGTGCTTAGCGACCATTAGGATGTTTAGATAAGTAATTGGATACAATTCGGTTGGAATACCACCGGAGGATTGAGTATTGCTTCTTGTGATTGATAGTTGTAATTTCACTTAGGGCGAATGCCACGTCTTTTGGGTTGCATGGTTTTTCAAAGGGTTTTCATAAAGCGTAATGAGTCATGCATGTTTATATTTGATCTGAATGCCATAGACGGATTGCATGTTTGATATAAGTTCTATCTTGAATGCCACAAGTAGAATATATATTAGGAAAACCTAACCTTCAAAGTTGCATGGGTAATTCATAAGTAATTAGTAAATCTACATAGGATTGTTAATGGGACGGCGGAACCCTAGTGCTTTTCCAAATTTATTTCTCAAAACCTTTTCTTTTTGATCTGATTTCTTCTTAATTGGTTACTAGCTGTTTTTCTAAATTACTTTTATTTAATTCGTTTTTATTGTATTTAAATTCAAAATCAACCTTTTCCAATCTTTATTTTCAAATAATTAACTAAAATTTTGGTTTTGCATAAATTGTTTTAAATAATCTATGTGGGAACGACCTTGCATGAGCAATTTTACTATAACTACATTGTTCTCTTACAAGTATTTTCATCCCTACTTTTGCAGGTGGTAAAAATCCTATCAGATGACGTAATCGGCACATAGATCGCATGCATAACCAAAGATGCGTAATGCAAGATGTCGGGCTCAAGTTACCAACTGAAGCACAAAATAAGGTTGGGTCATGATGGGCCTCAGGTGGACCAACATGGATGCGTGAAGTATTGCATAACCCTAGGCAGCGATCAGGAGAGAGTGGAGAGATTGTAGAATGCTTCAGGATTCTTGTGTGTATTCCTCTGTGCTCAGTGCCTTTATTTATAGTTAAATAGAAGAGGATTAACTTGTCCTCCAAGTAAATACAACATATAGAGAAAGAATAACTAGAGTAATATATAATCTAGAAACCAAATTTTTCTAGGTTTTACACAATCATAATCAGAGAACATCCATAACATGTTTGATTTTTTAAAGTCTATCTTAGGGTATATCACGTTTCTTTCCGAGATTACCCTGTCTCGGATTATGAAAGAAACATTGGATAACCATTGGAAGGAAGAATCTTTACTTTTCCAAAGTCACATGCTATGCTTTTAAGCCAATTTTTTGTCCACAACATCCCCACCTCAAGTCAAATGCCCTCATAAAAAAACCCCTTCTCTCTTTCCCTCTCCCTCCTTCAACAACATTGCACAGAAAATGACTCCTAACAAATTCATACACTACACCCGCCTCTTTCGTTCCCACACATTTCTATTCATTACTGAAAAGGACTCCTACCAACAATACTCTCCCACCCATAAATCTCCCCCTCTCTCTCTCCAAGCAAATCATAAGGAGTCTCCCTATATCTCCCTTCTCCTCCGACTTTAATGTCTTCTTCCAGCAAAAATAAGCTTCTCACTACCATTCTCACAGCCAATATTCCAGGCTGCGATTGCGGCAGGCCGAAGCTCTCCGACGTATACGACCCAACCCCAAAACCCAAAATCCAAATCCACAAAAACCCTATTCACCGATCCCACTCCTCTTCAAGTTCCGGTGATCAAAATGGCAAGAGTTTCACCGGTGACGACGACGAAGATCAGTGCACCTCCACCACCGTCTCTTTCAACAACAACTCGTCCTTACAGTCAAAGCCATTCGATTCAGCAGAGAGTACGAATCCGAAGAACACGAAGATTTCAAGCCCGAATACAACGAAAACCAGCGGCAGCATTGCGGTGGTGAAGGAATCAAACGACCCGTATCAGGATTTCAGGCAGTCGATGCTGCAGATGATTGTGGAGAAGCAGATTTACTGGAAGGAGGATCTGCAGGAGCTGCTCCGCTGCTTTCTGGAACTCAACTCTCCGTCCCACCACGATGTTATCGTCCGAGCATTCACACAAATCTGGAACGATCTGATCAGCGAAAGCAAGAAGCCGATGATCATATGAATCCCAGATGGGCGCCGCGTTCTAACTGTGTAGGTTTAATGATTTTGTAGTTGAGCTATCATTGTTGTTTCCCAAGTTTGGTTGGTGCTTGGCATTTGAGGGTGCATAGATTGTTGACTGTTCCCTTAGATCTCAATACTTTGATTGTGTAAGTACTGAAGGGGTTTTTTTCAGAGATAAGCCTTATAATTTTTATTTAATTTAATTTAATTTTTTTGTTTGTCAAAAGGTAAAATTCATTACCAAAAAATCCACCTACAACAAGGTAGGGGTGGGTTAAAAAAACTGAACCGATTTTAAAAAAATCAAACCAGACTAAAATCTTTTGGTTCGGTTTTAGTATCAGTGGCTCGAAAACCGAACCTAACCGAATTAAATATAATTAATTTTATGGAAAACTTTATGTTAATCCTTAAAAATGATGAGTTTTTAGCCTATAACCTTGTGTAAGATAAAATCAAATTTTAATCTCTGATACATTTAATTATCTCATTTATTTTTGATATTTTATTTCTTTCTTTTTTCCTATATTAATTACATTTTCGTTTCATTCATCATAATATATTTTGATGTCTACATTTAGGTAAACTAATTTTTTTCATATAACATAGGAATATACAATTTGTATAATCTTCATTTAGGTACATTAATTCATTTGATATATTTCGTTATATCCATTGATACAAATATGTTGGTACATAAATTCAATATAATATATTTTAGTACATATATTTTGGTACATACATTTCGGTACATACATTTCGATACATTAATTCAATATAATACATTTTGGTACGTACATTTCGATACATACATTTCGGTATTGACATTTAAGTACATTAATTCAATATAATACATTTCAGTATATACATTTAGATTCATTATAATATATGTCGGTACAAACATTTCAGTACATTCATTTTTGTACACATATGTATTTACATATTTATGTGTCACTAATTTTTTTAAATATTTTCTCATTTGTGTTCATTTATAATTGAAAGAACTAATATGTACATATTAATAAAATTGCAATTTTATTGTGGAGATATTAAATAAAAATACACATTAAATAACAAAAATAGAATATAAATTTTAATAAAGGGAATTGTTATTAGCACTCCAAAAATCTCATTTGGCACTCCAAACTTTCCATAATTAGATAGAAAAATACACTTATGAGGAATGTAGAATGAGATTTTTTGAGTGTTAATAACAATTCCCTTAATAAAAGTACACTTTAAGGGATTAAATTGAATATGTAATCTAGCACCAGTTTTATTTTATTTTATTTTATTTTATTTTTAAATTCTATTTTTTTGTAAGGACTAAGGTTTAGAAACTCCTTAATTTTATTTATTTTGTTATTGAATGTTTATATTTCAAGTCCAATTTTCAGTTTAATGCAAATTTTAACCTCTTATTTTAGGCCCAGTTATTAACCTATATTCCAATTCCATGTTTTTTTCTCCCTAGTCCACCCTCTTCTTTCTTCTTTTTTTCTTCCCAGCCAACGCTCTTCTTTCTTCTTTTATTTGTTTTTCATTCCCAGCTGCATCTTCATTCTCTCCCTCCTCAACGGGAAGATAAAGACGACGACAAACACGTTGAAATCTGGCCATCGCTGCTCTTCCATCACAGCTCCTTCATCGCTGCTCCTCCTCGCCTAAAACCTTTTGCCTTTTCATCAATTCCTGGCTATTTTGGTTAATTTGGTATTGGACATTTGCTCTGAAGGTTATAATTGATGCAGCAATTCATAAGTTTTGGCTCTTCAGGGTAGTACTCAGTTGATATGCTTTGTGAATCTCAAGTTTCTTTATCATTTTGTTGTGTAGGTAGGAGTAGGACTCCGACTAATTTAATCAATTTTCTTTCTTGTGATTGTTCTCTAGGAAATGCAAACTTGCATCTTCTTTCTTTTTGTTTCTATCTTTACTTTCTTGGAAATGGAAAAACTGGAAACAAAGTTGTATGACATAGACTAATTTTGAGATTAAAAAGAAAAGGGTAAATTACATTTTATCCCCTCAGGTTTGTGGTCGATTTCAATTTCCTACAACATCTTTAAAACATTTCAATTTTATATATTTACTTATCATTTTATTTCAATTTCATACATCCGTTCAAAAACCTGTTAAGTAAACCGTTAAGTGACGACGTGGCAAATAAGGAGTCCCCATTTGTGCTGACGTGGCTGCCATAGTTATGCCATGTGGCTAAACACTTAATAAAAAATTTAAAATATTAAAATAATTAATTAAAAAAAGCAAAAAAAAAAAAAAAAAAAAGAAGCCAAAACCTAGTTCGTCTTCCCCACCTATTCTCTCCACCCGAGCACACCCCCAACCCAAATCAGACACACCCCTTCTCCCCACCCGTAACTCCCAAACAACCCTCCCTCCCTTCTCTCTCCACGACTGACGCCCCCGCAACCCTACACGCCATTGCGAACCAGGCCGACGAGATATGGGCGATCGTCTTGCGGTTAAACAAGATCTGGGTCTCTTCGTAGACCCATAGAGTGCTCAAGATCTTCTTGGAGAATGTGATCTGTGACGCTGTGACCTACACTGAGCACGCTAGGAGGAAGACCATGACGGTGATGGACAGGGAAGATGGGTGGGGATATCAGACGGGGAAGGTGGACAAAGAAGATAGTTTGGACGGAGAAGGGAGAAAGGGTGATGGGTGTGTAGGAGGGGGAGGGGGAGGAGCGCCATATGAGGGAGGTGAAGATGGAGGAAGAAAGGGAAGAGTTGCAGAGAGGTGAGGGGGAAGGAAGGGGATCTGTATCACATCCTGGCCCGAGCCCCCACCACATTCGAGCTCGACTCCATCGTAGCACGATATTGTCCGCTTTGGGCCCCGACCACGCCATCACAGTTTCATTTTTGAGAACTCACACGAGAACTCCCCAAGGGGTCACCCATCTTGGGATTGCTCTCATGCGAACTCGCTTAACTTCGGAGTTCCGATGGAACCCGAAGCCAATGAGTTCCCAAAAGGCCTCCTGCTAGGTAGAGATGAATATATATATATATATATATATATATAAGAATCCACTCCTCTGGGTGATGTGGGATGTTACAATCCACCCCCATTCTGGCCAGGGATTGGCTCTGATACCAAATTGTCACATCTCGGCCCAGGCCCATACCACATCTATGGCTCGACTTCGCCGTAGCACGATATTGTCCGCTTTGGGCCTCGACCATGCCCTCACGGTTTTGTTTTTGGGAACTCACACGAGAACTTCCTAGTGGGTCACTTATCATGGGATTGCTCTCACGCGAACTCGCTTAACTTCGGAGTTCCGACGGAACCCAAAGCCAGTGAGCTCTCAAAAGGCCTCGTGCTAGGTAGAGATGAGAATATACATGTAAGGCTTACATGATCCACTCCCCTGGACGATGTGGGATGTTACAATCTGGGTGTGCGTTTGGGTTTTTTTTACTTTTTTATTTTTTTAATAGGGTAAATTATTATAATATTTTAAATGCATAATTTTTTTTTTGCCACGTGGCACAAATTTGGCAGGCACGTCAGCACAAATGTGACAGCCACGTCAGGTCTTAACGGACTAATGGATGAAAAATGTAACGGATCTATTATATTGAAATAAAATAGTACTTGAGGTATGAAAGTGAAATGTTTTGAAAAAATTTACGTTATATATATATATATAAAACGAATCAAGCCGAAAACAAAACGAAAAATCGAGCCGAATAAAAACCGAAAAAAATTGAACCAAACCAAACAAAATTTTGGTTTGGTTTTCGGTCACGGCAAAAAACCGAACTAATTGGAACCGACCCCACCCTTACAACTAGGGCCTAAAACAAGTTATGCACAAACAAAAGTGGGCCACAAATACAAAAAAAGACAAAGCCCCAAGACCAACCTTGGAGCCTAGCACACACAAACTAAACAGACTGAAAATCCCTAGAAACTGGTCTTATTGAAGCTGTAGACGTTGATGCCGCCACCAGAGAACCACCCAATAATCATCACAAATCGCCTCCCATCACTATCACCTAAGATCGCACCATCAAGAACTCATGAGAAACATTGCTGACAAGGGCAAACAACGGGCATGACCAATAATGGTGAACAAGGGTGATGGTGCTAGCACCCAAGCTAAAGCTCTACACAACCTGCCAAAGATCCTCGACAAATCAAAGTAAACTGAGGAGAGAGATGGCAACCAAAAATGCAGGGGAGGGGTTTAAGTCTCAAAAAGGTGAGATCAAAGGAAAAGGAGAAAATATAGGTGGAGATCGTGAAAATTGTAGGGGAGGGGAGGTAAAATTGAAGGCAACAGGAATGGAAACAAAACACTAAAATAAAACACAGACAAAAAGGATGGGTTGGCACTGACTTTAACCAAAGTTAAGGCCGGCGCCTACGTAGATTGAAGAGAACGAAAACTACCCACACATTGGTGAGAAAGACTCTTACAGGAAAGAGAAAAGCTTAGGAACAAAAATACACGAGTTTTAAATATTTTAAGCCTATCTCTAATCTAAAGTTAAAGGTTGGTCAATTTTAAAGTTAATTTCACTTTAAATGTTATATCATTCCTTTTTTTTTTTAGAGTCGAGCGATATCGTTAGTAAGTTGAATGTTAGATTAGCTACTGACGGAGTTTGAACCCATGCCATTATACAAGGGCACAATACCTTTCCACTATTGCAGTAAATGTCCACTTGCTATATCATTTCTATTACTTTTGGGATTTGGGTGCATGTATTAATATAAATATTATCTAATAGTTAGATATAGTCATGTAGTTATTGTAGTCAGTCTCTTACAAAAAATTTGTCAAATAGCCAATCTCTTAAATTTGAGTCAAATATAACTAGAGATGGCAATTAAACCTTCGAAATATGATCTAAGCAAGTAATCGATCCGAACGATTCTATTTCAGAGATAAATTTCGGGTACTTTACGGTTATGGGTAACTGTCGGATAAATATTTCGGTTTCAGGTTCGGTTAT